TTTTTTTCTTTCGGGTTAAATTGGTATTTTCTTTGGTCCATTTTGACTTATTCTGTCTTTATTTTAGTTATTGTAATTACAAAACATTCATTTTAACTCTTGCATTTTAAAAGTAATTGTTTTAGGACTTTTTTTTCAATTATTGTTATAATAAATTTCTTTAAATACTATTATATTTTTTTATCAAAAGATAAGAATTTTGCAAATTATGACCCATAAATTGGTACCTCCTAAAAATATAAAATATATAAATTAAAATTGATATTTTGAAACTATATGAATCAAAATAGACAAAAGTTCACAGGACCACTATAAAATTTAAACAATTTTTTTAATTTTTAAATGTCCTATCTTTTTTTCAACTAGATGAAATTGTTACTCCTTTAGAATTAGGAATATTTGAAATTTCAGTAGAAAATATAATGAGCCTTTATAAGTTATCTTTTTTTTTCTCTTTTTAATAACTCTCTTGAATATTGTTTTAGAACATTCTTCAAATTCAAAAAGCTAGGAATTGTTTCGAAGGCAGGTTCAAAAGCAACATCCAATGATTGAAAGTAATTTTTGTAGAAAAAGTCTTTTTTTCTGTAGAAATTTTATTTAATAAATTAATTTTCAAAACCAATTTTCACAAAATAAATAAGAACCATGTTTATCTACTTTATTTTTTAATGAAGTAATTATTAATTTTAAATTTCCAATGAATAATAATTTAAAAAGCTACACAAAAAAATCAAAAGAATCCAGGAAAAAAAAAGTGGAAAGTGAACTGGACCTACCGACAACATTAATGTCTTATATTTCCCTAGCCACAAAATTATTATTGAAATTAAAAGGAAAAAAAAGAAAAAAAAAATCCAACAGGAAAAAGCCATTTTACTTTAAGATTTTACACCTGATTTTATTGGCATTTTCCTGTCATACTTTTTTCTTTTTTGTTAATACGTACGGTTTCATTTCCTCCAAGTTCTAGGAAAAAAAAACATTGCCTATTAGATTATAATTAAGTGTTAAATATATGCATAAAACACACGTTTCAAATATATATTTAGTGGTACCTCGAGTTTGATATTGACTTGTCTGCACATTTAAATATTATATTTTCTAGTCATTATCATTTTTTTTTATAACAATCCTTAGGTAAAAACGCTAGAAATATTTTACCGTATATATTACTCTTAGTTAAGTCATTTACTCCATTAAAATGACTTTCAATCCTGAGTTTAGTAACTACTTATTTAAAATGTTAAAATTTTGATAATTTCCTAACAATCTAGTATTTAAATAACTAGGCAATTTTCAAAAATCTCCCCCAATCTTAGCTCTATATACTTTTTGTGGTAACAAAATATAAATTAAGTACTATGATCTTTCTCTCTCTTTTGTTTAATTTAATTCTCCTACATTTTTTGATATCTAGTTTATGATGCTATTAGAGTACTCCGTGGTAGAAATGAATTATCTTCTCTTTTTAATATTATTTAATCTATTTTTTAACGTAATAAACGAGGTATAATCTATGCTTCGATCATAAATGACGAAACAATGATAATGACATTTGTCAAATTATATCCAGAGAATTGACATCTTCGTGTTACATTTTCCTATCGGACTGTTCTGGATAGAATTGACATATCGAAACAAAGTTACTTTCTATTTACCTATTTTTAGGTATCAAAATAGAGCTTACTTTCTATTTACCTATTTGATTCCACAAACTTCATGATTTGTATCGATAGAATACAATGCTCAATTATTAATGTTACTTTTGTTTTTAATATTGAGATGACAATGATTAAATCTCCACAATATTTTGTGTTTCTTTTTCTCGTGAGAATGATAAAAGTTTTTACCTTTCTTCGCAACTAATAATAATCATATTAACACCACATTATTTTTTCATTGTGCTTAACATCACTCAACAACAGTGTATTGCGAGAATTCATAACTTTTAAACTATATGCTAAAAAAATAATTAATAAGTTTAAGTATAAGTTGAAATAATATGCCAGAGTTATGAAAGATATAGTTTTTATTTCATATGATTGCCTTGCTAAAAATTATTTGCTAGATAGTTTTCAAATATATGTGTGTTATCGAAAGTGACAAACTTATAATAGTCCAACAAAAATATAATCATTCTGCCGAGTGTATCCCAATAAAGTGAGATTTGATTTTATTGATCCGTTGAATAAGGAATATAAAGCTTTTTGTCTTAAACTATTAATCCACTTTACATCACTTTCTTTTATGAAACCCTATTTGGGAAATTAGGAATTAGATGTACTCCAATAGGAGTTTGAATTTTCTTTCCCTTGCAACTGCTTAATTGCTCTAGACTCAATCATATCTCTTCTGAAATTTATTTATAACGTTTCCCGTTTGAGTTCAGGTGATGACGTTGTTGATGTTCATTTTAGATCTCGATCATAGATGAGATTTGCTTGTAATTTATTTTCATAATTAGGATGTTATTTTTTTTCTCGTTTTAGCGTAAGTTGTGTTTATTAGGTTATTTTAATTTTTTACTTTAGTTATATTGTTGTCTTTCTTATTACCTTGATTTCAAGTGATGAGATTTCATCTTTCTTCAATAATATACTTTTACCTTTGCAGGGAGGAAAAGGAAGAAAAAAAAAGTCTTTGGTTTATCAAAATCATAATCTTCACAATTGATCTTCAATCATAAATGTGGAAGTCATGGGAATTGGAATTAGAAAAATATGGAAAGGAGAGAATTTTATGTTAATTATTGATGTTTGATTGAGATTCAAATTTAAAACGACATGGGCCAATAGAAAAAGTAAATAGAAAAGAGGAAAAAAAATAGTGATGAAACCCATTAAAATGGAAGATGATAAATCCTACACTATATTACTAAATCTAATTTAGTAATTTTAGTACATTTAATAAACAATTATAATACAGACGGGAACGTTTGGCACCTCGATGTCGCCTCCTCTCCCGACTCAATACATGTAACGAAGCTTGAAACTTTTATAGKCATGACAATGTCAAGGAAAATGAGTTTGTTTTCGGTAAGAGTGAGCAGAAGGAGAACTGCTGTTGGTATTGGAAAATGTCGATCCCACAACTAAGATTGTCGCGCGCTAGAGGTTTTCAATACCCCTTTGTTCTAAATTCTCAGAGTCACTTGTCTTTATAATTTACCAAGTTGTCAATAGTATATATTTTCATTTATGAGTCTGAAAGGAGGTTGAAATCTTCACTCTCTTTCAAGTGCTCAACAAAGAATCTCATGGCAGAATAGATTTCATCCTTTTGGTGGTGATTCCTATCACCAGTCACAAAGACATTAACTTTGCTTCTGATCTCAATCCAACTGCAACCAGGAACCCTCTTCATCCCCTTCTCCTTCATTTCCCTTCTTAACGTCGATACACTTTGCCATTTCCCGGCAGCAGAATGCGCATTTGACATCATTACATACGACGAAACATCGCCCGGATCCAAAGCTAAAATTCTTTGAGCTGCAAGCTCACCAAGTTCCACGTTTGAGTGAATTTGGCAACCCCCGAGCAAAGCTTTCCAGAACCCGATCCCTGGATCGAAGGGTAGGTCGCGAATAAATTCCTCTGCTCGTCTGAATTGACCTGAACGTGAGAGTAAATCGACCAGACAAGCATAATGCTCCGGTTTCAGCATGTTGGGGTTGTCAAGTCTCGCTTGATTGAAATATGAATAACCTTCATCGACGAGCCCGGCGTGATTACAAGCCCATAACAAGCTAAGAAGTGTCACACCATTCGGTTTGACGCCTGCAGAACTCATCCTTTCATAGAAACCTATGGCTTCCTTTCCCCTGCCATTTTGAGCATAACCACATAGCACAGCATTCCATGAAACTATGTTCCTTTCAACAAGTTTATTGAAAATCACCAAACTATCTTCCATGCTTCCACATTTTGCGTAAAAGCTAATAAGGGAATTATTAACGAACACGTCGAGCTTGCCCAAGAACTTGACCGCACAAGCATGAAAACTCCTCCCTATCCCAAGTGATGCAATATTAGCAGCAGCACAAATAGCAGAAGGGAAAGTAGATTGGGTGGGCAAGAACCCTTCTCTAAGCATATCAATAAACAGATGCACAGCATCCTCATTGTGTCCCTTCTGGCTTAACCCACCAATCATTGCATTCCATGACACGATGTTTCGCTCGGGCATTTCATCGAACACCTGGAGAGCATCTTGAATCCTCTCCATTTTCAGGTACCCAGAAATCAAACTAGTGTAAGAAACCACATTTGGGATCTTGATGTCATCAAAAGCTCTTTGGACCTCCTCAATGACACTCAACTTAGCATACAAATCTAAAAGTGCACTGCCAACAAACACATTAGAGTGAAGGCCAATCTTCTTGGCACAAGCATGGATTTCCTTGCCAATATCAATGTCTCTAACCGCAGTTGCAGAGTGAATCACAGTTCCAAAAGTGAACTCGTTGGGCCTCAAATTTAACACAAACATTGCAGAAAAGAGGCATAATACCTCTTCGTGCTGGTTCTTCCTTGCGTGGCGCCCAATTACGGCGGTTGCTGAGACCACGTTTAACTGAGGCATTTTGTCGAACATTTGACTGGCATATAATTTACCGCGAGGAAATGGTACGTTACTGGATTTAAGAGGTAACGTTTCGATGGCGCCATGGCCATTGATCAATTGCCTACAGGATGAGGAGTAAGATTTTCTCCATATTGTTGTGGGTTTCATGTGGTAAACCGAAAGCACTTGGGTTCTGAACTTGACGGCCGAGCTCGTATCGCATATTATTTAGCGGCAAGGAGATTGGAGCTACTGTAAATTCTGAAGCTTAGATTAATGGGTCTTCCCTATCCCGTAATCGACTAAAGGATTCAGAAGATTCATGGCCTTCTATACCCCATTAATGGTGTTCATCGTTTCTTTGACGCTCAGATGAATGACCAGCAAATGAAAAGGGGTTTATTTTATCGTAATTAAATTATAAAAAATGCACATAAAGTTGTAAGGTGGGTTATAAAAACACTCTTAAAACTTTTAAAAATTCCATTTTCTCTTAAACTTTAAATTTAGTTTTAAATTTCCATTAAGAAAAAGTTTTAAGTTACTATTTCGTCAACTGTTAGGTGGTCGTGAAGTGACTTGTAAAATAGTGGTACATGTTAAAAGTTACCGATTTTATTAATGTTTGTGAACTTTAGGATATACTTCAATTATTTCTTAACCATGATTCAATGATTGGAGCTACCTATCCTTGGTGTAGGTAGTGATTATCAATTTTTTTATTTCTTAACCATATTTTCATGATCTCATGATCCCTCTCATTTAGATGTAGTACCGTTTTATTTGATCAGAAAAATAATCAAGCACGGAATCCTACTAGATCGAAACGAGAAGGACGATCTCGCTTACATTCCCGAAGAACCTGCAAAATAAGGTTAGCACTCCAACGAACAAGTCACTAGAAGTCCGATCTAAAGTGCAAATGGATTATGTACCTTGTATAAAGGACATGCATTCTTATTTATAAGGATGATTTCCAACAGGGGCCTCCCAACAACATAACGGCCATCTGACCGCCAGCAAAAAAAGCGACATGTTGTCGAGAATCGCACATTGTTTACACATTTGCGTTATGTTGGACAGGTTGGCTCATACTTGTTGGGTCAGTCGAATAAAGTGACGAATAGGGTCCGTTCGAACGTTACACTCTGAATTGGTGAAACTTGGATGAAAGTCATGGTTGTTTTAGATAGACTTGTCTCCTTAATTATTTGGCACGTGGCAGGCAGTGAATAGCCTCCAACACGGTTTGTCCATATACTCCTACCCTCTATTCGAACATCACAATTATGCTAGGGCATTTCTACCTCATTAATCTAGGTTCAAATTATCACCTCATATTTATGATATACTTTTATAAACAATTTTAAATTTTAATTATGCTATTTGGATATTTTTAATTTAATAAAATTAGAATTATCTAAAATTAAAATCATCAAACTATTTTCCCTCTAACTTTACACATCATCACCACCTAGGTTTGAAAGGATTTTTTCCATTCATTTTAATACATATTTAAAAAATAATGTAGGAAGAGAATGCCACTATACACCGATTGAAAAGAAAAAAAAAATGACGTCTACTCGAGTATCTTATCCTTTTTAAGAGATAATTTATAATAAAAAAAAATACCCAAGATCGTATTTGTAAGAGATAATTTATGATAAAAAATGTTATAGATGGAACAAAAGACTGCCACGTGAACCACTCTTCTGCAAATAACCTCAACTCACACAGGTAGAATCATCTTTCACCAATTCTATAAAAGCTCGGCTTGGTAACTTAGAAAATACATTTGCCATTAGTGAAAGCACACTCCCAAAGCTTCCTTATAAAAGGCGGAGAACATCCTCTTTTAAGGATATGCAATTTCTTTGCAATTTAGTTTAAGCTTAGCTCAACACCAATTCGAACTGTGCACTAAAAGCTTTGGAGTACTCATATATGCGGTCAAGTGACAAGGTTTTGTTCACAAGTCATCATATCKGTTGACTAGACTCTTATTTTAGATTCAAAGTCGATTCGATACCCCGTCCAGAATCCTACATCAACCAAAGATATAAATAATTTTGTAAAGGAGGCAGAGTTTACTTTACATTTGGAACTAAAATTAACATTGAAACAAAAACCCCCTCATAGACAGAAACCCTGCCCACAAAATCTACAATATAGAACAAACACATTGTCAAATTTTTTTGCCAATTATTATGGAAGGATCATGATCATGGGACCAACGTTGTTTTTGAAGGACAAGATTGATACAAAGGAAGGATAATAATTCTTTTTCTTTTAAGTCTAGTACTTTCTAAATATTTATTTTGATTCTGGTACTATTTTGATCTCTTAATTTTACTTTTAGCATCATTTTTTCCATGCAATAACACTTTATATTAAAGGTTTCCATTATAGAATTTGTGTTAAATTTTGAAAATATGAATCAAAATAGTCACTTTTCAAAAAGTACCAGAATCAAAACCAACATTTTGAGAGTATAGAAATTGAAATAACAAAAATTAAAATATATAGATTAAAATAAACCTTTAAAAAATACAAAAAGACCAAAATGAACAAAAATTAAAAATACACCACTTTATTTTAACCATAAACGGTTTTCATATCAAATCTGCTCAGGCTGCCAGAAGTTGGGCCTAGAGGAGCAGGCCCAAATCGGGTCCAGTTTTCGGTCCAGGTCTTGTCTTTTGCGATTTGGGCCTGGCCATTTGCCACGCGCCGCCTCCTGAACAAGTACAATATTCCGGCCGTCTGGTTGCTTCGGCTTTACAGAGACCGAAGCGGGAAGTTTGTACTCTGACCACAGCGCAGCCATGGCCATAGCCGCCACCATTTCTCTTCCTCTTACCTCTCCATCTCGACGCTCTCTCGCCTCTATTCCTTCTCTTCGATCTTCTTTTTCTTCCAGAGTTCAACTGGATTTCCTTGGAAACAATCCCGCGCGGAGGAGAAGCCCTAGGCTATCCGTATCCGCCTCCTCCGCTGGCCTTGAAGTTACGGAGAAATCGTCGTCATTGTCTTTTCTCGACCGGAGGGAGAGTGGCCTCCTCCACTTCGTTAAGTACCACGGTCTCGGCAATGACTTCATCTTGGTAATGTTTCTCTTAGTTTACTGTAAATGAGTCTTGTTGTCTAAATCTGATCCGTTGGAGCTTTGGATTTGGAAGTTTGAAATCGGACCTTGTTATCACAACTTTGCATCGTTGACTGCAGTTGTTTTATTGGTAGATAACGATACGGCATATAGTGAGAAACTAATTTGAAAACAAAATTGCGCCAGTTATCTCTCCGTGCAGGAAAATAGTTTAATTTATTCTCAGCTAATCAGTCTGCATTTGGCTCTTAGGCTGATATTTATTGCAAGTGAGCTTGAATAGGTTGATAATCGCGACTCATCAGAGCCTAGGGTGACTCCAGAGCAAGCTGTGAAGTTATGTGATCGGAACTTTGGAATTGGTGCTGACGGAGTGATCTTTGCTATGCCCGGCGTTAATGGTACTGATTATACCATGAGAATATTCAATTCCGATGGCAGTGAACCGGAGGTAATTGTTTTTTCAGAAAGAATATCCTGTTCTTGAATTGTTCCTGTCAACTAGGTTTGATTCTGAATTTTCTTGTTTTTATATCTTATAGATGTGTGGTAATGGAGTACGATGCTTTGCCAGATTTATTGCGGAGCTTGAGAATTTGCAGGGAAGACATAGGTATGGTCTTGTTACTGTTTTATCTTGTGTGGCCATTTGTGCATATTTTCTTGCTGGATTACAGAGTAGTATTAGTATAGTCCTTTCAGCCAGGACACGTTTAAAATTAACCTTGCGCATTAATATTTCAGAGATGAAGGTTGCCTTATATTCGTGGTCCTGGGMTTAGAAAATCGGTTTCCATTTGTAGATGACTTTTAAAACTAATTAAACTACAAGAGCTTTGATTTTTTTTCTTCATGGTTATTTACTCATTAAAATTTCTGAACGGAGTGCATGTTTTCGATTCGTATGCTTGCAGTTTCACTGTTCATACTGGTGCTGGTCTTATTATTCCAGAACTTCAGGATGACGGACAGGTATATTTTAACTATGCTCAATTGGATATGTTGATGTGGCTTAATAAGAGCAGATGCTTCCGAAGTTTATATTACTTGATTTATGAAAGCTTTCCTAATCTACAGTCAATTTCTGTTTCAATTGTCAGAATTTGTGACATCCATTTCACGTTTTTACCATTTATTTTTAGCAGATTCAAGCTGTGCTCCTAGGAATCTGTGTCTTCTTTTTTTCTCATTTTCAAATGCAATGTGAGCTTCTAGCTTTCAGAGCCCATCTTAACATGCATGCAAATTCAGGTAAAAGTAGATATGGGTGAGCCAATTCTTAAAGCATCAGGCGTACCTACCAGATTGGCCCCAAATACAGATCAAGCTGTTGTTAAGTCAGACATAGAAGTAGATGAAGTTACATGGAGCGTGACCTGCGTCAGTATGGGAAACCCCCACTGTGTAACTTTTGGTAACAAAACCGAGCAGGTATCTATTTAGAAGAATAATTGCAACATGTCATTTAGTCTCCTAAATCTCCATAGAATTTCCGTAGTGGATTACTATGCCTTGCACTTTTGTTTTCTTTTCTATTACTTAAATATAATCCAGTTAGCAAGTTATACATGTGTACATGATGTAGTAGATTAGAGGCAATAAGCTACCCTCTAATATTTAGTAAATAATTTCTTTGAGTAATTTGTAGTCGTAGATACTAGGCTGCATAAGTACATAAATTGCATTTTTCGTAATTTTGTTTGATTGATTGAGATGTCTTTAATCCTGTAATGATGCATATTAGTGCATTTATAAACAAGGAGTACAATAATTATAAATTTTGTATATTTGTAAGTTATCCATTTTTACATTCCTTGAACTGTAGTTTCTGTTTGCCTTTTTTTTGTTAAATGAAAAAAAAAGTAATTTTTTCTTTTTAAAGAAGAAATACTAAGCTGTGAGGAAACCTCCAGTGATGGCTAAACTCCTCTGTCATTTAAATCGTTTCTTTTCTCCTTTTACCTCAAATAGATTGCAGCAGTTTAAGCTTCTTATAGTCTTGAGGCCTGAGGGTAATGCAACTTCTTAGAGTCTTGAGTTACATTTGAGTTCCTATAGTCATTCCATTGGAGTACCACTTTACCGTTCATTTACTATTTGTGCTAATTTTAGCATGGTCATGAACAGAGTCTGCAGGTCGATGATATAAATTTAGCTGCAATTGGTCCAAAATTTGAGCATCATGAGATGTTTCCAGCACGAACAAATACAGGTTAGTTTTTTAGGAAGTTTGGAGTCCCAACCTTTTCTGGTTGTAAGCAAATGTGATTCTTTTTAACCCTTCAAACGGTCTTCCATTACTTCCTTAAGAATGCTAATTATTGACTCTAATGTTCATTGAGATACATTTTTTACTCCGCTCATGCCTGTTTTCTTGATGTCATTGACAGAATTTGTACAAGTCGTTTCCCGTTCACACCTTAAAATGCGTGTTTGGGAGCGTGGTGCAGGTTTGAATTCAATATAATTTAAGATAACTTAAAGTCGTAAGTGCGTGAATAGTGAATCACTTCATAACTAACCTGCTGGCTGTACTTGTCAATAACACTGCAGGCGCCACACTTGCTTGTGGAACTGGAGCTTGTGCGGTTGTTGTTGCAGCAGTTCTTGAGGGTCGTGCTGGGCGGGTAAGCACACCGCGTCTGTCCTAAAAACAAGTGCTATAATTTGTTACTCTTATCAAAGTACATTAACAAAATTTCATGCAATTTGTAATCTTCTAACGCTGGATTCAAATGTCTTGAGACAGAGTTGCACCGTTGATCTGCCTGGAGGACCATTGCAGATAGAGTGGAGTGAGCAAGACAACCACGTATACATGACTGGACCAGCCGAAGTAGTGTTCTATGGATCGGTTCCCCTACAGTAAAATCAACATTTTCTGCTTCTTGGAGACCACCACCACTCCAAAGGATTCCGGGCGAAGCAATTATAAAATTTTGGCCTCTCAGACGCCATGGCTCCTCTAGCCCATCTCTTGCCATGATTGATATATAAAACCTCCAGATGGTAACTTATGAAATATATTGATGCTGCTTGTATCTTCTGTCTGTACTTTCATTACTTTGTATGCACAACATCTGTTTTGTATGAATTAATTGATGTGACTAACTGAAAACTTCCTTGCGATTGTAGTAGTAGAAATCTTTTCGTATGTATTCTGATGGATTGCCCCCATTATGGTGGCATGGAGCATCAAGTTTTCTGCACCACTGAGTTCCTGGTATGTTAATGAGTTTAATGGCCAGATTTCTCTATTCTTTGGCTTGTCAACGATTGTCCAGTGTAGAGGGCAGGTGAATCGCATATTTCTTGTCCAATCCCTCTTGGGTTGAAAGTTATATGGCTTAATTAGGCTGTATTTGAGACTGATTTTTACATACTTTTGCTATTTTCCTAAATTATTGGTATATTATTGTCAACTTGTAAGCAATTTTGGCTGGATCAAAATCATGATATTGTAATGTTGGACAATGATACGAGTGATTTTAGAAAATGACAAAAGTAATTTTTGCTAAGTTAAAATCACTCTCAACCATGTTTCCTTTAATCGTGCATTTGGGAGTGATTTTTAAAATTACTTTTGTCATTGCGAAAATTACTTCCATGGCAAATTAAAAATTGATTTTAAGAAAGTTTAAAATTATTTGAAGTCAGGTATCTTTTTTTTTTTAAATCACTCATCTTATGTCATTTTCAAATACACCTTAGGGCTAAGGATGCATGGGAGTGAATTCTAGGATGTATACGGGAGTGATAATGGTAGAATGAGTGATTTTGAAAAAATAGATTTAAGTATAATTGATTTTTCAATATCACAATTTAAATAATGCATTAAAAATTTTCCTAAAATTAATTTTCAAATTTACTGGAATGGAAAATAAATTTGACAATGAAAATAAATTTCATTATAAGTTCTCTTAGAAGATGACATTTTTCTTGGTTACTATACAAATAATTTCTTAGATTTCTATAATTTCTCGAATTTAGGTAGACAACCCATTCAGAAAATACACATGGACATGGGTTAAGTTATCTTATCAATTCTCAACATAGTACAATAAGAATCGAAACAAAAATGATTCCATGACATTTTGGTTCATATATTTCATCACCTACTAAAGTTGTCATGTTTCTCTAAAATCTAATTGTCAAAATGTCCATCTAATTTTAACCTTGAAAGTCAAATTAGGTGACCATCTCGATAGAGGTTTTGATCACCATTAAAAAGTAGTTTATTTTTCGAGATTCACCAAAATTTATCCACACCCCATTCTTTTTAAATTGGGGCATCAAATTCATATGACCTACAGGGGCAGGTCTCCACTGTAACAGGGAAGAAATATATTATTCGCCACACATTTTGCTACATAACAGTTTGTTTTTGTACTATATTTTGTTAATACATTCTCCTACAAATTGATCATGTTATGCCAAAAATACCGCTCTTCCAGCTTAATATTCTTATCAATTTTAAATTGGTGCAGTAACAATCGATTAATAAGATTTCCAAGATCCAATTATCGACCTTTAAAAATAATAGGTATTTTATCATTTAAAAATTTCAGAAATTAAATAGTTGTAATTGATAATTTATCCCAAAAAAGCAGCCCTTTTTTCCTCTCTTTTTCCCATGTGGGAAAGCATTAAAAAAAAAAGGAAAGAAAGAAAGAAAAAACTCAGGAAGCTTTTCGGAAATAAATCCCACCAATTGCAATTGCAGGCTCCGGGGGAGCCCCAGACATGATTTTTTGAATTCTTTCCCCGAGTGGGGCCCCCACCTTTCATTCAAATTTTATGAATCTAACGGCTACTTCGCCCTATATGTACTAGCACTGGACAGTAGCCGGTGACGCACGGACAACAAAAACGCCTCCTCCTTCTCCAATTCAATCAATCTTATCGAACAACAACACAATCTCAGCGCATCTTCAATTAAAGGTTTTTTTTTTTTTCTATTTTCTTCTTCCTTTTCCATTTCTGATTTTTGTCTCTTCGTTTCAAAGAGGGGGAATATAGTGAAAATGGAATCTGTTGTTAGGAGTTGTTTCGGTCCTGTTTAATTACAATATGTGATGATTTTCTGCTGATTTTTGTGCTCCGCGCATTTGATTTTAGAATCTGTGAAGCAAGAAAACAATGGTGCCGTTGACGCCTGATCAGTCTAAGAAGGCCGGAGTCGGGGTGACGGCATCTCCAGCTCCATTTCTGACTCCGCGTCCGGAACGGCGGCGCACTGATTCGAGAGGCTCTGATTCGAGTTCTAGCCATCATAATAGGGATAAAGAAGTTAGTGTACAGGTTGTGTTGAGATGCAGGTGAGTTTTCTTGTTTGTTACAGAAATAGTTAGGGAGTTAAGAGTGTTGGAGGTAGATCCACTGATTCTTTACATCCTTTGTTCCCAATTGCTTTGTTACAGGTTAATTAAGGCTTTCTCCTGCTTAGATTTTTATCTGAAATGGCTTTGAGAAGTATATACAAAGTAATAGGGTTTTTTGGACCATCTTTTACTGGAGTTCGCTCTGTTGTACTCTATTTGGTGAATTTCATGTGCCATCCTCAAGAAACTTGGATTTATTTCAAAATTATGTTTCTTTTGATGTCTGTATTGCTTATATAACCCAGCTTGGCGGATATACAGAAGTATTGGTGACTTCATTTCCTGGATTTCTACTTGTATTACCATGGCATTTTTGATGATCTAATATCTAGAAATGGAGTGATGATGATGACTTGCACAGTAGAATTTACCTCTACATTATCAGATTAATTATTAAGTGTGAAGAAGTATATGCATTTCTCTAAAATGGAACCATTATGTTGTATTTCAATGTTAGGCCATTAAATGATGATGAACAGCGATCACCACAAGTGATATCATGTAATGAACTAAGAAGAGAAGTTAGTGTCTTGCAAAGTGTGGCCAATAAGCAAGTAGATAGAATCTTCTCCTTTGACAAGGTATGTTTCTGAAACGTTAGCTTGATTAATTTCAGGACGTAGATAGTTTTATTTGGTTGTTTTAACTGACTATGAATAGTTTTAAGGTGTTCGGTCCGAAAGCGCAGCAAAGATCGATTTATGAACAAGCCATTGCCCCTATTGTTAGTGAAGTCCTTGAGGGATTCAACTGCACCGTCTTTGCCTATGGGCAAACAGGCACTGGTAAAACATATACAATGGAAGGTGGGATGAAAAACAAGGTACAGAGATGGTTAAACGATCCCTATTTTCTACTCTTAAGTTAATTTATTCTCGGTTTTCGACATAACTTTTACTTACCATCACGTGCAAATAGGGAAAGGATCTGCCTGCTGAGGCTGGTGTTATTCCGCGGGCTGTTCGTCAAATTTTCGACACGCTTGAAGAGCAAAATGTAGACTATAGCATGAAAGTGACATTCTTGGAGCTCTACAATGAAGAAATTACTGATTTGTTGGCTCAGGAAGATCAATCACGGTCAGTAGAAGAGAAGCAAAAGAAACCTATTTCCTTGATGGAGGATGGAAAGGGCGCAGTGGTTGTAAGGGGTCTTGAAGAAGAAGCAGTATATAGTTTAAATGAGATATACACTCTTTTGGAACGGGGATCGGCCAAACGACGTACATCAGAAACCTTGTTAAACAAGCGTAGCAGGTAAATTTTATAATATTATGTTCATGAAAAGATTCGAGTATTGGGAAAAAAGAATGGAAATCTCACATGTTTCATCCAATTTGATCTACTATTTGCAGCCGCTCTCATTCTATCTTTTCCATTACTCTCCACATTAAAGAATCGTCCGTTGGTGATGAGGAGCTGATCAAATGTGGAAAGCTTAATCTTGTTGATTTAGCGGGATCGGAGAATATATCTCGGTCAGGTGCACGAGAGGTAACAAATTTTGTGTATGCATAAACAAATTTGTAAACAGTTAATTGTGTTCATCATGTTATAACTTTTTATTTCCCCATCCAGTCAATTACATGATCTGCTAATTAAGTTCTATAAGATAGTGTCTGATCAGTATTGTATAAAAATGGAGCCAAAAGCCTTTTAGTTCAGCAGATATTTTGGTCAGATTTGAATCAATATACTACTTTTAACTTTCAGGCTCGAGCAAGAGAAGCAGGGGAAATTAATAAGAGCTTACTTACCCTGGGTCGTGTTATAAATGCATTGGTTGAACATTCTACTCATATACCTTACAGGTATATTCTGAAATCTAACAATCTTACAAGCTTTGTTTCTGTATCACTTTTTTTTAAACTATTATTTTTCTACTACTATTTTTTGTGGCTCATTTTGTCATGGAAAATTCTGTGCAGAGATAGTAAGCTTACGAGACTGTTGAGAGATTCTTTGGGAGGGAAGACAAAAACTTGTGTCATTGCCACAATTTCTCCTTCTGCTAATTGTTTGGAAGAGACTCTTAGTACTCTAGACTATGCCCATCGTGCTAAACATATCAAAAACAAACCTGAGGTTTACTCCTATGAACCTGTTCATCCTATTTAATTTTTACAGTTTTTCCCCAATGCTGACAAAGAAGTTTCATGACAGGCGAACCAAAAAATATCCAAAGCTGTGCTCCTCAAAGATTTGTATCTAGAAATAGAGAAGATGAAAGAAGGTTGGATTGCATTATTTAGTATATCTAGATTGACGTGTGTATTAATAATAGAGAAGTGAGTATCTTTTTTGCTTAGTATCTGTAAAAAAATGTTGCAGATATTCGAGCTGCAAGGGAAAAAAATGGTGTCTATATTCCACGTGAGAGATATGCTCAAGATGAAGCTGAAAAGAAGGTTGGTTGTTTTCTGTTAAAAATAATAAAATGTCTTAAAATTTTTCTCTCTTTTATGATTTTGTTTCTTACAGAGCATTAGTTTTGAAAACTAAGCATCATTTTCTTTCTAACCACATATTTTCGTTGCTAAGTAGTTGTGATGTGGAAGCCCTGAAAATTGGCTTAAACCTGAAAATCTCATACGGTAATTTTGTATCTCTAATTAGCTCCATCATATCTGCTCCACAGGCAAGATCTGAGAGGATTGAACAACTTGAAAATGATCTCAACCTTAGCGAGAAGGTCAGTTTTGCTCAACATTTAGGTTTGTTCTTTTCCATCTACATTCTTTATAATACTCTCCAATGTTGGCTTTTCTTAAAGCAAGTTGAAAGCTTCCGTGAGCTCTATCTGACTGAACAAAAAATGAAACTGGACGTGGAACAAGAGCTCAAGGATTGTATGGTATAAACCCATATGCACTTCAAGATTATTGTTGTTTCTTGTCTATCTCTATGTACAATGTCCTGATATATTGCTTCTTCTATACACGTTCGTTCAGGTAAATCTCAAAAGCCGGAACAAGGCATTGTCTGATCTACAGGATGAACATGGGTTAGCCATTTCAGCCTTGAAAGAGAAGGAGTCCATCATCTCCCAGCTGAAAACCTCAGGTTTGTTACTCAGTTATAAGATTTGTTCAAACGTTATGATAAACTCGAATAAAGTGGATAACTTTGGTACAAACAGAGAACTCTTTACTTCAACGTGCAAAGTCGTTGCGCATGGACTTGCAGAATGCCTCGGAGGATATAAGTTTATTATTTGAAAAGATAGGTATGAGATTGTGCAATTATGTTCATTGAAATGACATCATTGTCGACCACAACGTAGTTATATTATCTTAATGATTAATTTGGTTTCACCCTCCACAGATCAGAAAGACAGAATGGAAGCAGAAAATCAGAGCAGGGTCTTAACATTTGGTTCTAAGCTTGATCAGAACTTAAAAGATCTGCACAAGATCATCTTAGGATCTGTTACTCAACATCAAGAACAGCTAAGATACATGGAAGAACATGCACACACTTATCTTGCTAGTAAATCTGATGTAAGGAAAAGAAAGAGTTGTTGTTACCAAGTTTTTGTGCATCTGGGGCTTACATCTGATTAATTTCACATTCTTCTCATTTTCAGGCAACTCAAGTCCTGGAGACAAAAGTAGAGAAAATGGCTCAGACATACTCTTCAGGAGTAGCTGCCTTAAGACAGTTAATCAAGACACTGCAACAGAATGTTTCCACAGACCTTGAACAGATGAATGACACAGTTTCAACACAAGCAATCAGCGTCGAAAACGTATGAACTGAACAATGATTTTTTTTTCTATTCGTCTCAATCCAGAAAAGTTAGATTTGAAAATAGTTTGAGATTTTCGAGGTTTCTTGGGTTCCTCATAGGGATTGGAGGGCTATGGTGGAGGAAGTGTTTTTGTTTCCTCCTTTCCGAGAGAAAGGGAGGTTTTGTGGCAGGCTTGCTTCTTTGCAATTTTGTGGGGATTTGGTTGGGGAAGAACAACATAATTTTTAGCGGGGTGGAGAGAGATAGAGAGTTAGTTTGAGATCTCATTAGATTTAATGTGAGTTAGTTTGGGATCTCTTTATGGGGTTCTGTTTTGAGGGTGTAATCTACCCAGTTAGGTTCTATTATTTTGGATTGGAAGCCCTTTCTGCTACGCTTTTATTTTTGTATGCCATTTATATGTTTTCTGTTTTCATTTGTCTCAMTGAATAGTTCAGTTTCATATAAAAAATGAAATACTGACAATTCAACGGGTGAAACTTTGTCCAGTTTTTGGTTAATGCAGTATTGGAAGCCAAGGAGGTTGTCAAGGAGATCCAGAGTTCTCTTGATGATCAAAAACAACTTCTTGCTCTCTCTATTCAACGCCAAGAGGAGGTAATGGGGTCATTATTTTGAGTACTACTGGCTCTGATGATTAGGAGTTTTAATAATACTTCTATTCTGTCAAGTTCAATCAATTTAATCCTTGGAAAAAACATATCAGGGATTGCAACATAGTTTGGTTTCGGCACGGAACATATCAAATGCAAGTATCAACTTTTTCAATGAACTTCATTCCCATGCATCCAAAGTCATGACGCTGCTCGAAGAAGGTCAAATCAAGAGGTCGAACCAATTAGTGAATTTTGAGAAGATGTTCAAGGTAGCTATTAAACCATGTTATTAGCAGCATTATCAAGGTAGTTGAAGTTTTTCATGGTTAACTGTCAATTTGACTTGTTTCCATTTGTTTGTGAAACAGGAGCAGGCAGAGAAAGAGGAGAAACAGGCTCTAGAGAGCATTGCAGCAATTATAGCAAATTTGACATCTAAGAAGGCTGATATGGTTGGTCAATAATGTGTTCTTTAATGTCATTGGCATTTTTAAAGACTTAAAAGAAGATATAATGTGGCTTGAATATTCAATATAGGTATCAGATGCTTCAAAGAACATTCAGGAGCTGAACCTACAAAGCAACAAAATATTGCAGCAAGAGATGTCCTGTATGCAGCAAGTATCAAATTGTGCCAAGAAGGGCATGAGCAAATATGTCGAAAATGCGGAATCTCATTTCACAGAAAGCATGATTTCAGCAAATGAATCAAAGACTGTATTCGAGAACCACATCGAGGAATGGTAAGTTTTATTTGAATCATCTGTTGTACTTGAAAAATAACCAATCACACAAATTGGATAAATGTAAAGTTATGACAAATAGTTTAGTATAAAGTTATTTTCTTGTGATATGCAGCTCAAAGAGGTTGGATCACTCTCAGAAACAATGGGAAGATGCGCAATTGTCGGTAATAAAATTGAGCAAGAATGGCGCTACAGAGATCGAATCTTCTGTAAAGTGAGTTTTTTTGGTTTCTTTCTCTGTAGATTGTTTGCTTTTTCTTTAGTTTTTCATTGACCTATAACTGCTTTTTCATTTTCATAAACAGGGCTAGTATTTGCAAAAATCATTTTGCACAAGAAGAATTTGCAACTGTTTCTTCAGCACTGGATGCTGATTTTGATGCTGAAATCAGTGGTGTATTGGCTGCAGTTAATGGTAATTCTAGATACCTTAAAATGTGTTTTCTTTTTCAAGAAATGCTTTGTTTCTCTGTGCTTACTTTGGGAAACTGCATGGCAGATTCTCTGAGATTAGACCAGGAAAATAAAAAGGAGTTGGACTCAATTTCGACCTCGTGCTCGGAAGAGCTCAAATCCACGCAAAATAACCATGGAAGAACCGTATCGAAAATCCGAGACCAAGCAGAGCAGTGCCTCATAAAAGATTATCTGGTTCACTTTTTTGCTTGACTGACTGATCATATTTAATGAGGCTTACATATTATCATCTATGCATAAATTTATATGACAATAACTTTTTGTTTCAATTTCAAACAGGTCGACCAGCACACGGACTCGACACCGAAGAAAAGAGTAATAGCTGTGCCAAGTTTAGCATCCATTGAGGAGTTGAGAACCCCTGCACATCATCTGAAAGAAGGCATTTCAACAGAAAACAAGTTGAAATGGGGTTTGTTAGAAGGCAAAACTCAAGATGCTAATGGAGCAGTGCTACCAATGAGAGCTCCCTTTACAAATGTCAACTGAAAAGAGAAGAGCACAATGGAAATGTCTAAAAAAGCTGTACTCTCCATGCTTGTGGAGCTGTGAAAAGGAAACAAAAAAAAGTGTTCATCTATCGATGGCCATCCTTTCATTTCATCCCGAGATCTCATTAAGGTCAATTTGATTAATGAAGATAGCCAAATGATGATGAAATTTACTCATCTTCTTCTTCACTATCTGTATGTATTGTTTTAGATTTAGTTTTCTTAAAGATGGATCAGATATTCTTCATTGAGCTGATTATATATATAATATTTTTAGTTTTCTTAAAGATGGACCAGACACTTTAGTTCGGGTAACGTGTTCGTGTTTGACACATTATTAGTCTTTTTAGACTGCTGTTCAAATCTCTTTCCAGCTTCTCCTCTTACTTACCTCTTCGACATCTATAAAAAAGCCTTGTTTTTTGAAGTTCCAAAATGTTGTCTTTGGATTTCCAACAAAGGAAAGTCCCTTTTTTTTTTAATGAGAGTTCCATGCTACTCACCACTCCTCGAGGTCAAAGACGGGATTGAGCCATCATTCCAAGATTTGTAGTCTGATATATTTCTGTTCAACTATAAATCAACCATAGTCATACTAATTGAATTCTCGAACATGCAGAATAGGATAAAAATGATAAGATTTGAGTGAAATTGATCAAAAGATTTTACTTGTATTAAAAATTGTATTTAATAGCGCGCATGTGATAGATTTTCAAAAAATAATGTGCTACGGTCCGTATCTACGTGTCCGTGCTTGTTTGTTTCTTCTTTCATTAGCTTGGTTTCTAAGTCGACACTTGAACAATTGTCCTTGAATTGAAACCAGTAGTGCCGGTTGGCGGTGCCCATTTATTCAAAGCCCAAAAGTGATGGAGAAGTTTCGGCCTCTTGAGACTCGAAAGTACCTTTTTCAGTGATTAGGAACCTTCTGTTGTTTTTTCCTTTGATATGTTTTCTCATATTCTTAAGTTCTTCTAGAATAACCTGAAAATTAATTCAAAAGAAAAATAATTTGAAAATTTTAAGGATGTATACTTAATTATTGAGTGGTAATTGTATATATAGCAACCTAAGTTCAATTAAATATGTAGACAATGTTATGGATTTGTAAATATAACAATTATTTATCATAGTTTACACCATTGATATAGTCTACAGTACTAAACGTCGATCAGTGATATAGTTTAATAAGTGATATACAAGGAATTACGTAAAAATATTTAAAAAGATAGGCAAAAAAATATAAAAATTTTATTATATTTACAAAATCATAATTCCGTATATTTGTAGATATCACACTTTGAATTCCTACCTTTGAACTCTCTAATTTACCCTTTAAAATTTTCAAAATTGAAAGGTTATATATTATTTAAAAAGTTAGAAGGTAAACATGTTTTGAATTACGTCAAAATTTCATATTCACATATCCTATATTAAATGTCATGAGAAAAATGTGATCCTCGTTATCCCCTACAAAATGAAAAAMAAATTATTTAACCCATATTGATGGCTAATAATTAGATTTTAGTTTTGGTTTTTGAAAATTAAGTCTATAAAAAATATTTTCACCTACGAGTTTCTTCCCTTAATTTGTTTAAGAATTCGAACCTTTCTTTACATAATTAAAGAAATTGCGACTAAGCTAGCATAATTTTGGAAAATAAAAATGGTTATGTTAGTTATTTCAGTTTGATATAATTATATTGCAAAAGGGTATTGCATACACATATATTCAAAAATTTAGGTCAATGCTAAACTTGGACTAGAAAAAATTTGTTGCACTAATTTGAATGTTGGAAGATAAGTTAAGAAGAGGACGGCCAGCTGCCAACTCCTTTTTTTTTGTAGTTGATCTAAAAAGTGGTTGATTTGATTCATGAATCAACATCTTGATTAGGCCCCTTAATCTTTTTATTAAAAAAATCATACCCAATTATACAAATTTAATTGATATATGGTTAAATTATCCACATGGTTTAAACTTAATTTTTAATTATGATTTTATGAATTTATAAGATTTTATTTGGTTTTTGTGATATGAATTTAGTTTCCATTGATTTATATGGTTCGGTTAAATTACCTCTTTATTGTGTTGTCACATATTTATTTAATATAGTAATATTTTGCATCAACCTGACAGTTTGTAAAATTTAACCATATTATAAGGATCAAATTTAAAATTTTAAAAATATAGGGACTAAATTTAAACTAAGCCTAGATCATGAAGATCAAATTGAATCTTTTAAAATTATTAAGATCAATTAGAAATTTAACCTAAAAATAAACGGTACTCGTAAGGTTTATATTGAACCTTTTAAAACTACACGAAACAAATTGGAAAAACGTCTAAATTATAGGCACCAAATTGAAAGAGTTTAATCCATAAAGAGTTACGACGAAATTGAAACTAACCCAAAATTTATAATTCAATTTAAATAGTATCTATTCAAGTTTTTTAAAAAAGGAAAAGAAAAACATTTATTTTCAAAAAGTCAAATAGTATAGTAGCTTATAAAAACATGATTATTGAGGGGGTTTGTTTTTTTTTTCAATATACAAAAATCATGTTTCCATTATACACACGTGTGAAAAATACCCTATTTTGTCTTCCAACAATTCCTTTGGCAGTGTCTTCTGAAACTCAAACACTTCAATAATTAATCTTATAAACCCCAAAAAAGGGGAAAGTTTTTTTGTGAAAATATATGTAGAAAGTCAAATGTTGTCTACTTGTAATGTTGATTAGTTTATAAAGGATGGTTTGGATTTGAAGGTTCCATGGAAGGTGAGTCATTGCCAAATCTAGCTCGCCATACATGACCATTTATTTTTCCTACTTCCATCACCAACTTCACTTATTTTACACACCATTCATATTATGTCATCATTTTTTTTTTTTTGGATAAGGATTGTTGTAAGACATGTTGGATAAAAATTATCATAAATATTAGGTTCTTATAAAATTCAAAATTTTAGTTATATAAGATAGAAGGTTATTATTCGGTTTTGATCGTAAGTTAGAAATCCACTTGAGAATTGGGTTGTTAAGTAACTTCTTACTATGATTAATCTCGTTCTAGTAATTGAATTTTAAATTCTATTGGTCGGAGGTATATGTCAATTATCTCTGACACTTTGACACCATTTTAGTTTTTATTATTTATTTTTATTTTAAACTGTTTAATGGGATGTAGCTTCAAATATGCATGTTAACATGTCAACGTGAGCATCTACTCAAACCAAACCCTGTGAAAAACAAATATTTAGAAGAATAGTTATTTTTAGAATTTAGAAACTAAAATAAATATTTTAAAAGTCGAAGTAGAGTATTTATTTTAAAAATTCTAGACTGAAATGAGTAGTAAGATTTAAATATTAAAAAAGTAAATAAATAAAAACAGTGGGTAGTAGTTGCCTATTTGGATGAGATCCATGTCTCTCGTACGGCACGCCTTCCTTTTTCAATGCAAATAATTAATCAAAGTGAGCTTTTTCAATCACATGCCCAAATTACAAAGTCCAAATTTTGTAAACAAATCACAGCAGCCAAACAAACCAACAAAATTAAAATTAAAACTAAAAATTAACAACTCTGATTTTTCTTGGTCAAACGAAACGAATCAAACCCAACTCAGAATTCACCCATTAAATACTTCACCAATGCCTTCCAATTTCCAAATCCCATCTTTCAGCTCCCTTTTGAATTTTCCATTTTCCATTTTCCTCTGAAAATTCCCATAAAAAAAAAAACAGAGCTCTCAAAAATCTTGTTCTTGTTTTTCTTGTTAATC